GATTGTGCTGGTTTGGATTAGTCCTCTTGGTCAGCAACTGCGGGTTTCCCCGTATTTTTGCATATTTAAATTCGTTATGTGTCAGATGTGGATTAGTGATTCTAGCTAACCCCCTTGATTTATGGCGGGCATTGTGCACGAAGCGGAACATGTTCGCAGTCACGCTGAGTGCTCGAGAGAAAGAAGAAAAGCGATCAAGAAAATTGATCTCTTCTTCGATAGCGTGATATACCTCCACCTTGCGCTTTTCTGGTCGAGATGCTCTGCATGCAAAATGGCCATGCATCCATGTGGCAAGGGAGCCATTTTGGTCCGTGCCACCAGAGTGGGGAATTCGCCAAATACCGAGGTTGGCTGGATTATCTTGGCTGGCCACATGGCGCCATGTACCGGTTGGAAAATATTCTCGGATTTGGGAGGTACGATTGGGTACATATGGGTGTTTCCAGCGGAAGGTCCACCCCGACAAAAAAAATAAAAGTTTTATATCTAACGCATTTACGGGCCTGTTTGTCTGCTTTTTAAAATATATACTGGCTATGTAAGTAGAATCATGTTTGCATAAAATGGTCTTCCTAGATGGTGCCAAGGTCGAGATATTTCGAAAAACCGTATTTATGGTCCGATTTGGTTCGAATTTGGCGTATGTGGTTGAAACATAATAAATCATAGATTTCTAATAAATTGACCCTGAATTGGCGCTGAAGTCAAAATATAAAGTATATTCTAGATAAAATACATGTTTTATTTGCGTTGAAAATTCATTTAAAAGCAATATTAACAAAAATGTCACGTGACGCCACGTCACGTCACGTTTCACACTTGGGGTTGTAAAAGAGAATTGAAACAATTTGCATTAATTCAAAAAACTCTAAAAACAACTAGAATTGCTCCAAATCATATTAAAATAAGTTTCATGAAAATAGCCATCCACAATTCGCAGAGTTTTGCGATTTTGTAAGAAAAGAAAAAATCAACTTCCATTTTTTGTCACGTTACGACACTTTCTTTAAATGCTTATATTTCAGGACCAAGCAGTTCGATTGATTTCATTTTTCGGTTGAATATAGAGCTAATTATGTGCTATACAATGGCTCAAAAAAGTTAAAGAAAACAAATGGTATTCCTTTTTTGTATCGCATTGAAATCGTACGACTGTCACGTGCGCCACCATGGAAATGCCCATATGTCTGTCACCAAATATTATAATATGTGACCTGGTCTACGGAAAGGGGGCTTAGGTGTCAAAAAATCAATTTTCACTTTTTGGTGGATTCGGATGGAAGATGAGATGCTTTTTCACGTGGTGAAAAGCAGAAAATCCTAACTTGCTTAGAAGTGTACTAAAAATGTAGAGAAAGAAGAGTAAAAATACGACAAAATATAATTTATTGGAAATGAACAAAATACATTGAATTATAAGCTATAAAGACATGATTATACACTAGAAAAACGTATTATGGGCCAAAAATAATAATAAATTTTGTTACCAGCTCCTCCTCCTTTACATCAACAACATACAGGTCCATCTTAACAAAAGTTTGTTCGGTATCATCTACTGCCTGAGATAAACATAATTCGTCTTCATCATCATCGCTCTCTTCATAGTTTTCATCATCGTTTTCATCATCCTTTTCATGGAAATATTGTCCGTATACGGCACTGAACTCCTCATCAACACTCATGTTTCATTTCATGCGAAATGCGAAGACGATAATCAACAGAAACAGTAAACGTCACTTCTTCAGTGTTACTTTTTTAAATGTTCCACACTAGCAACTTCCACGATGAACTATAATAATATTCACAACAACACTTACTGGACCAACAACAACACTTACTGGACGTCCGGCGCAGAGAACAATTAACGAGATAATGAGAAACTGACGAAACGAGTTGCTTACTTTTAACAGCTTTTTCACAGAAAACTAGTTTTCGCACGTAAGCTCCCTTTTCGTAGACCAAGTCACATATTCTTAAAAATACTACGTGAGCAACCAAATATTTTTTGCAGAGAGATTACAGCTTTCGAAGGTTCTGATTTTGTGGTATTGTTATTATGAATGGTCATTTCGCACTGAATATATCCAAAAATGACAGATGTCAGCTGCTCATTCATCAAAAATCCATCGAAATATTCCGCCATGGAAATAAGTAAAAAAACGCAAGTATATAAAAGGGGATGAAACCCACTTTATAATAGATATATGGCGTGAAAACATACAAAAACTCAGAGGTGTGCATAAGAACGGTCATATTTACCAAAATATGTGTGCAGAGCTACAACGGCGTCACAATATTGTTCTGTCCGCTAAAGAGCTCCGCACACGGATTAATAACTTGACCCAAAAGTTCAGGTAAGATTTATTATTAAATTTAAGTATGTGAGTACGTTCTAATAAATACATTAACCTGGCAGGGAAGAAAAAAGAAAAATGGGAAGTAGCGGAGGAATTCCTTCTTTTTGGAAGCACTATAGCGAGTTAAAATAGGCTCCTTCAAAAGTAATAATGCCTCTGAAGCAATGGAAGAGAGTTTAAATTTCTGCAAGTATTGAATTATTATAATTTAAACTAGCAACACCCGGCGCGCGTTGCTACGCCAAAGAAAGACACATTATTTAGAGTTTTGAAACTGAAGACCTTTTTATTTACCTTAATACTAACAGATAAACAATATTTTAAGTTTTTTCATTTGGTGTGCAAATATATAAATTTTGTCGTGACCCAACTCGTGAACAGGCGACGTATAATTGGCCATGTGAAAAGCAGAAATTTTTCAAATCCAAACCCGCAATAGTTAATGATTGCCCTTGTGCTTTATTTATAGTTATAGCAAAGGCAAGACGCAAAGGGAATTGAAGCCGCTTGAATTCGAACGGTAAATCGTTGGAAATCATCGGTATACGTGGAATCAGCACATCTTCGCCTTTGAATTTACCGCTGATGATTGTTGCCTCGATCAAATTCGGTGTTAATTTTTTTATTATCACTCTGGTTCCGTTGCACAGTTTCGCCGCGTTCAAGTTCCGAATAAGCATCACTGGTGATCCAACTTTTAACGCCAACGAATGAGGAGGCATTCCAGGTGGCTCCAAAGAATTAAGAAATTCAGTTGGGTAATTAACAGCTTGATCTTTGTCCATTACTGTATCAATCGATTTATATTCGACTGCTTCTCCTGGAATTTTGAATTGAATTTGACCGTTTAATTTACTAACATCATCGTTCTTCGGAGCTAAAATTGCACGTTCGCGGAGCCATTCCGGATTTCGGTAGTTGATCGTTATGTTCGGAAATACTCTGTCGATGACGTCTTGAATGCTCTGCTGCATTTGACAACAGTTGGACGAAAATGATATCTCATTTGTTGTGCGATCAATATGAACTTTACCGTTTCCGATATCTAAAAGTTGCTTTGAAAATATTTGGGCAGACGTATCTTGCAGCAAATGCACTCGCATATTTGTTGTAAGCGTAATTTTTTCGACATAGTTCCACAGATGCGATGCCTTTAAGCACGCGTTTAGCTCGTCTGCAGGCGTTGATCGTGGTATAACGGGTAATGTTTGACGAAAATCACCTGCAAGGAGTATAAGAGCGCCTCCCATCGGTTGGTCTTTTCCACGAAAATCTCGCAGAGTTCGGTCAAGTGCTTCGAGCGATTTCTTATGTGCCATGGTGCATTCGTCCCAAATTATAATTTTGCACGTTTTAAGGACTATGGCCATACCAGAGTTTTTGCTGATGTTACATGTAGGTGTTTCGGTCTGGTGCAAATTCAATGGAAGCTTAAGTGCTGAATGCGCTGTACGTCCTCCATCAAGTAGTGTTGATGCAATCCCCGATGATGCTACTGCTACTGCAATCCCATTTCGCATTCGAACTGACGCCAATATTAAATTGATGAGGAAAGTTTTCCCGGTACTTCCTGGAACATCTAGGAAGATAATTCCGCCATCTCCTTTGGTTACACGTTGCATGATTTTGTCATAAGCTTTTTTCTGATCGTCAACTAAAAACTCTTTTTGCGTTTGCACAAATCGTTCAAGCTGATTTGCATCAAACTGCTGTTCTCGCATCAAGTCTCTGTCTTGTACAGCATTTCTATCTCGTGTCAGTGCTGGCATACCGAGTTGACAAAGAGCTTTGTTGTTGATTGACATGCATAAGTCCTCCATTAATATTAAAGCTTCATTGAAAATGTCATCCGAATATTCCTGACTTGGATCGCTTGTACGTGCTTGTCTTAGAATATCTTCACTGAGGCTTTCACGATGCATTCCCCACAGTTGTCGAGGATTCGATGGTGCGCATGTTGTTAAAATTATCGCAAACAAAGTTCGTATTTGCTTTGGATGGCACGTGAGTGATGCTTCAGTCAGAGTTGTGTTCCAATTCTGATCATTCTCAAGTAAGCCCAGTTTAAAGCACGCTTCTCTGTACGTTTGGCATTCTACTCCGTCGATGGTTTTCAATGTAAGGAACGATGTCGGCCCTTTGATTGTATGCAGCAACAACCGCAAATAATAGCACTCGGCGTTATTTGGATGAACAGTATACACACGTCCCAATGCATCGGACGAATATATACCAGGATGCTCTGGAACAATTGCACCTCTTTTTCTTCTGTTGAACTTTTTTGTCGATGTGTTCCAAGTATAATATTTGGGCACATCTTGATACAGCAACGTTTTAGCAAAATTTTCAGATGTACACAATTCGAAAAAAGCAGTCAGTGTTGTTTTTTGTGGTTGCTCCACTCTATTTTGCGCATTTTCTTCGGTGAAGTAAACCCGCTGACCATTTTCCAAATGAACAGCGAGATGTTGAACCGTTGGATATCGTTCGTGAATATTGAATGCAAATATCCGCCATACTGCTTCGTTACTGCTGATGTAGCGCCCTGTTTGATATTGCGTGATCTCATCACCTCGATTTGCTAATCCGAATACTGCCATGTCACTGCCCTTGTTAACATATTTACAAATATATTTGGTGGACTTTACTGAATTACAATACTCAACATTGATGTGAGCATTAAACATTTTTGAAAGTAGTGGCGAGTATGGCACGATCCATCTATTGTCTATGTCGATATCTACACTTCGCATCTTAATAGTAGTTGTGTATCCACCATTAGTGGGATTTCTTCGCCTATACAGAGGATATCCATCACCTCCAGTTTGAGTTTCAGTAATCAACTCACGTGGATATCGCTTTGTGCATTTGCCGTTCTGCATACATGGTTAATTAGGATTAAAAGTACCGCATGGCCCATGAATCATATTTTTCTTGATTATTTCAAAAAGAATGGGATCTTCGGCTTGATTTGGAAGCTCGGCTGATATAACGCTATCAATTTGTGTAGGTATAATTTTTTGCTTCAACCAAATCAAAATGTGAGCGTGTGGTAAGCCTCTCTTTTGCCATTCAATTGAGTACATCCAGCATCTGGTTTCTCCAAAAACAAAATTCTTCGTGATGACATTCATAACACTTATTAGCTTTTGCTTGAATATTCGAGCGAGAAGATCATGTCTGTGCGATGAGCTCTGGCCTGCAAAAAGCAATTCGGTTATTTCACTCCACGATGGATTGCAAGTGAAGGTGATGAATAGGTCTGGTCGTCCATACTTTCGAACGTACGTCATAGCATCTTGCCCGTATTCGTGCATGTGCATATATGTTACAGGTAAAATTACCATTTGTCCAATGTCAGCAATGTTTCCATCATTAGCAACTGCATCACGTAAATGAACGTATTCTTCAACGCGCAGCTTCTTTTGATTTAAGCGAATGAAAAGAAGACGCTCACTTTCGACTTTCGCGTAAATGTCTACAATAAACTGTTGGAATAATTCACGACATTTTAAGATATGATTGGATTCATTTCCACGAATCATAATGCGGTTTGTATAATAATCCATGCAGGACACTTTCTTTGTCGTCGTTTCACTTGTGCTGGGGTCGACTTGCCTGATGTTGAAATGATATCCTTCTTCTCCATGGGGAAACAGCACTGGATATTGGAGTGCATCATACGATCGATGTGTTTCCGATACTCTCTGTATATTAGCATTTCGCCGGTGGATAATGATGTCACGTCGATCGAATTCGGTGCCAACTATTACAATTGCAACATCCCCTGTTACTGGAGCATTGAAGCGCCTTTCATGTTCACCAGCAGGAACTTTGTCTGCTCTAATAACAACACTATAGTCATCTGATGGCATTTGATCCAGAGCTGTTTTAAAAAGGCGAATCAAATTGTTTTGTTCATGGAACATTGCCTGCAAGCTTGAAATGATCTCGCGTCGGATCCCAGAACTAATTGCGCAACGCTTGTCTACTTCCAGTGCATCATTTCCAGTGAAATAAATTTGCAGAAATTTCGCATCTTTTTGTGGCACTGCGAGCAATGAACCGATTTTGTGGTATATTTGGCCTTGAACTTTGAATGTTGGCATGTAACCGCCTTCAGATATAATTTTCGTTGCTCCAAACGAAGTCATTTGAAAGCAAGAGTTGTACTTGCGTATGTTTTTCAAAAAGTGGTTTGAAATAGGAGTTGTGCCAGAAAGGTAACTAAGTAGTGGTTCAGGTGCCTCAATTAACGATGGCAAAACTATTTTACCATTTGAACAACACATTCCTGGTGATTCCTTTGCAAACTTCAAAGCAGGGCAATGCAAACAAACTTTAATCATCGGTCCAATGGCGACATCTGCATGATTTTCGTAGTCTCTGTTTTTGTCATAATTGTATGCCGCCAACATTAAATGTGTTCTTTCTCTTGAATGGGTCAATCGTGATAGATTAGTGCGAAGCCGTTCGTTGCGTTGTTCGGGATTTTCAGAATCTCTGGAGGTTGAAGCTCTCACACGATTTTGTTGTAGGCGAGATTCTCGTTGTTC